CCTGTGTGTGCACATCGGTGTTATCTTGAAGAACAACCAGGAAGTCATCCACATAGCGGGCTACCTTGTTAACTCCTCGACTTCCAAGCTCCCTTTCAATGGCACAGTCTACAGCTCCCAGATAAATGTCACTGAGGACTGGGGCTACACAGGAGCCAATACAAACTCCTGACTTTTGTACATAGCACCCATCTCGCCACCCAACAATCATGGACGTTAGATAAAAATATAAAAGCTCTAAAAAGCTCTCCGTTGAAATTCCACAGTAGCCTCTGAAGGAGAGCTCTCCATTGGCTTCAATACATGTCTTCACAGACTCCAATAATTGTGCATGTGGCAATGAGTAAAACAGGTTCTCCACATCTATACTGAAGGCCGTACCGATCTCATTGCTCTTTAACCGGAGAAATTCGACGATTTCCTCAGAATTCACTACTTTGAAGGGGTCCTGTATTTTTAAAGATGACAGATGTTTTTGGAGATAGGTCGCGACTTGTCTTTGCCAGGAACCCTTTTCGGTGACAATCGCTCTAAATGGGCTTCCTTCTTTATGCGTCTTTACTGAGAAGAAGACTTCAAGATGAAACTTGTCAACCTTCCCGATTCTCGCTGCTAACTGAGTTAGAGACAGACGTTCACAAAGACGCTTTGCTGCATCCCGAGTTTTCTTGGTGTCCACTTCTACCCGTTCGAAATTTTTCGTGATTGCTGTTGAGGCTCGATCATTGTACATGTTTTCTGGTAGAACCACAAACTGTCCTTCTTTTTCTGATAGTAAGACACGCAGTCCATTGTCACCCATAAAATCCACCAGGGGCTTAAAATGCCCAACAGGTTTTTTCTTCTGCTGAGGGTGAAACTGTCAACGCACTCAGAGATGCACCGTGGTCTGTCCGTTTCCACTGTCCTATGGGCGATTTGCTTTGCTAGTGTAATCAGCTCCGGTGGGCTTACCACAGGTTCGATACAGTACTTAGGGCCTACCCCTAGACGCTTGCCAATATCCGGTGGCATCCTTACCTCCCCCAGTGTTGTGTAGAGACCCACCGTGGAGGGCACCGGTTCATTTGCTTTTTTGGTCGGGAGATGTGGCCTGATCCTTTCCCAGAGAAACTCCGTAGAGTCTTTTGATGTGTTGTTCATTACATGGTAGAACCTTCTTTTTTGTCGTTCGTTGCCATTACCCGAAAAGCAGGCAACTCTCAGGCAGTCCCTCAGGAACCTCTCCTGACGCCAGTATTCGGATCATAGGATACGGCAAATTCTTCTTGTATGCCCTATTGAAGGAACCAAGAAGCCACATAGTCCCCTGAGTTCCACAGGACATGTACCCCTTCGAATGTGCCAAGAGGCCACCCGAGCACTGCACACACTCTTGGCTATCAGGTCCACAAGGACACACGGAGGCAAAAAAGGAAGGTCAGAACTCAAAGGGGAAGGGCCCGATGCAAAAGAAATAAACTGTAAAAGGGTTGATAACTGGGCTAGTTGGTAGTTAGACATATTAACGGCATTAGCGCACACGTATGAGGAAGAAAGAAGGGACAGAAAAGAGCGCTACTCACAACTGTATTTACAAAGATGAAGAAAAGAAAGAACGTCGTCCAGCTCCCCATAAAGATGAAAAAGGAAGAACAGGAAGCAGAAATATAAAACAGGAATGTAAAACACAAAGTCGGGTGTTCCCTCGCGCGCACAGGCTGGATGCACTGGTTCTTTGATTAAACCCTAAAACCTTTGTTGGCTGTGCCTTCGTTGTCGTGGTGCAGGGTGTGTTTGCTTCAGTCTTCGCTCGCGCCTGGTCACCCGTGTCAGAGGGGAAGACGAGCACATCATCCATGGTCGGCTGCCGCTGGGTCGTCGTGTCTGATGTCTCGCGGCACCCGTGACTCATGCGAGTTCTGCATTGTCCGTGTTAAAAAGTCTGTCTCCTTGCCTGTTAAGGCCACCGATGGAACACTAATGCATTTAGTAGCTGCGGATATGATGTAGAAGGCTTCTACCACTTCGCGGGTCATTTTATCCTTGTGCCTCTCTAGGGTTATTGTTTCCCCGAACAGCGGATTACAATTGCACTCTTTGCAATGTGTTGCAAGATGGCCTCCCACTGTGGCTCTCAAAGAATAATCATGCTCGCGAAGTCGGTCATTGAGACACCTGCCTGTTTGACCTACGTAGATCTTGCCGCACGAGAGTGGAATCTTGTATACCACGCCTGAAGTGCACGGAACAAAAGGTTTAGCATGTTTTTTTGTGCACCTGTGTCTTGTGGCACCTTCGGCTTGCGAGTTGACTACGGAGCAAATTTTGCTCATTTTTTGCGGGGCTGAAAATACCACTCGGACCCCATACCGACTTGCCACGTTCTTTAAATTGTGTGACGTCTTGTGAAGGTACGGGATTACCACCGGTCTTGTCTTTCCTACATCTTGTTTGTTGGCTTGGAGGCCTTTTGCCCTTTTCAACAAGGTGTCCGCTACATTAGCCAGTAGTGGTAACGGATAGCTGGCTTTTCTGAGTCTTTCAACTTGCATCGAGAAGCTGGCTTCCATTGTGTGGCAACATGATTTCTTGAGCGCGGATCCCAAACATGTCAGAGCAATGCCCCTCTTGACGATCTTAGAGTGAGCCGAACTGAAATCCAAAATTCGTTTCTTGGAGCGTGGAGAGTACGTCCAGCACACATGCGTATCACCTAAGTGAAGCGAAAGGTCTAAAAACTGGAGAACGTTTTCTTGAGGGACCTCATACGTGAACCTGAGGCCCCCTCCATACTCAGTGAAGGTCGCCAAAATATCGGTCACCTGTGTGTGCACATCGGTCCCCTTCAAAGTAGTGAATTCTGAGGAAATCGTCGAATTTCTCCGGTTAAAGAGCAATGAGATCGGTACGGCCTTCAGTATAGATGTGGAGAACCTGTTTTACTCATTGCCACATGCACAATTATTGGAGTCTGTGAAGACATGTATTGAAGCCAATGGAGAGCTCTCCTTCAGAGGCTACTGTGGAATTTCAACGGAGAGCTTTTTAGAGCTTTTATATTTTTATCTAACGTCCATGATTGTTGGGTGGCGAGATGGGTGCTATGTACAAAAGTCAGGAGTTTGTATTGGCTCCTGTGTAGCCCCAGTCCTCAGTGACATTTATCTGGGAGCTGTAGACTGTGCCATTGAAAGGGAGCTTGGAAGTCGAGGAGTTAACAAGGTAGCCCGCTATGTGGATGACTTCCTGGTTGTTCTTCAAGATAACACCGATGTGCACACACAGGTGACCGATATTTTGGCGACCTTCACTGAGTATGGAGGGGGCCTCAGGTTCACGTATGAGGTCCCTCAAGAAAACGTTCTCCAGTTTTTAGACCTTTCGCTTCACTTAGGTGATGCGCATGTGTGCTGGACGTACACTTCACTCTCCAAGAAACGAATTTTGGATTTCAGTTCGGCTCACTCTAAGATCGTCAAGAGGGGCATTGCTCTGACATGTTTAGGATCCGCGCTCAAGAAATCATGTTGCCACACAATGGAAGCCAGCTTCTCGATGCAAGTTGAAAGACTCAGAAAAGCCAGCTATCCGTTACCACTACTGGCTAATGTAGCGGACACCTTGTTGAAAAGGGCAAAAGGCCTCCAAGCCAACAAACAAGATGTAGGAAAGACAAGACCGGTGGTAATCCCGTACCTTCACAAGACGTCACACAATTTAAAGAACGTGGCAAGTCGGTATGGGGTCCGAGTGGTATTTTCAGCCCCGCAAAAAATGAGCAAAATGTGCTCCGTAGTCAACTCGCAAGCCGAAGGTGCTTCAAGACACAGGTGCACAAAAAAACATGCTAAACCTTTTGTTCCGTGCACTTCAGGCGTGGTATACAAGATTCCACTCTCGTGCGGCAAGATCTACGTAGGTCAAACAGGCAGGTGTCTCAATGACCGACTTCGCGAGCATGATTATTCTTTGAGAGCCACAGTGGGAGGCCATCTTGCAACACATTGCAAAGAGTGCAATTGTAATCCGCTGTTCGGGGAAACAATAACCCTAGAGACGCACAAGGATAAAATGACCCGCGAAGTGGTAGAAGCCTTCTACATCATATCCGCAGCTACTAAATGCATTAGTGTTCCATCGGTGGCCTTAACAGGCAAGGAGACAGACTTTTTAACACGGACAATGCAGAACTCGCATGAGTCACGGGTGCCGCGAGACATCAGACACGACGACCCAGCGGCAGCCGACCATGGATGATGTGCTCGTCTTCCCCTCTGACACGGGTGACCAGGCGCGAGCGAAGACTGAAGCAAACACACCCTGCACCACGACAACAAAGGCACAGCCAACAAAGGTTTTAGGGTTTAATCAAAGAACCAGTGCATCCAGCCTGTGCGCGCGAGGGAACACCCGACTTTGTGTTTTACATTCCTGTTTTATATTTCTGCTTCCTCTTCTTCCTTTTTTATCTTTATGGGGAGCTGGACGACGTTCTTTCTTTTCTTCATCTTTGTAAATACAGTTGTGAGTAGCGCTCTTTTCTGTCCCTTCTTTCTTCCTCATACGTGTGCGCTAATGCCGTTAATATGTCTAACTACCAACTAGCCCAGTTATCAACCCTTTTACATGGCACGTAAACAGCGTCTCGGTAAGGATCATGGCCCGGGCCGGGGGGAGCTTGGATTTCACCAGGGGGGGGGGGGGGGGGGGGGCACAAGCCCTGATGCCACCCCGTAGTCTATGCCTATGGGTGAAGCCATATATTTTTTGGTTGGGATCAATGTATGAATGCATCGGCACTCCAAATACACATTAAAATGTTAAAAGAGAGCTGAGAAAAATAAGACAAAAACTGCTAAAGATCTGTGATGAGAGACTGAGACGACGAAACTATGCTCACAATCTACTGTTCCCAGAATCCACCGTGTCGCACCTCTCCACCAGGGCCATTTCAATTTTGGGAAAGGTCTATTGTCAATTACGTCATTAATCAGACTTTTTCTGATGTCACATTTTAGGCCTCCTGGCACGCAGGTATCAAGAACCGAGCCCGAAATGTTCGCAAAAGGATGCCAGCTGGACTCATGGAGGTGGATTCTGCAAGGGCAAAAGCCAAGGCTCGACAACAAAGCCGAAGGGTCGAACTTCCTGGCGACCACCACTCTGTGCCGAAGAAGGCAGTCAGAAACGTAAGCTCATGAGTAGATGAGGGTTAGAAACATTTCGTTTGAGCTGCCAAATTATGTAAATATTGAAGTACCTTATAAAAAATGCACTCTATTTCCACGGAAAAGGCTGGTCGAACAGCCTTGAGGCAATTGGTTTAATTTTTTACTTGCTTGTTCCACTATGTGAGTACTCTGTGGCATTGAAACTGGGGAGAAGGCGGGACGGGGGGAAGACCCCTAGGACATTTCTCGTAAAATAATCAGAGGAAGGGAAGAGAAATCCCGCCTTCCTCACCTCCATCTCTTAAACACTTCCCACACTCCTGGTGTGCTTGTAACATCCAAGGAAAGGAAAGGCCCATTTCTTTCATGGGGTATTGTTTACTTTCTTTGTCAAAGAGAAGCAGAAACAAAAATATTTTTATTTGTTCATGGTGCATGTGACAAAACTGATTTGTTCATGGTGCATGTGACAATTACTATAGAATTGTTAAATTCTTGTGCATGTCCCAGTGAAATCTCAGAAAGAGAAATCATGGAAGCAGGTTCTATCAGTCAGTCATAACACTCATCAGAAAAAACAAGAAAGGAAATGGGAACTAGGGATAGAGAAGAATTGTTAAAAGGGCAATGCAAATTTTTTTTTTTACTTTCGATAAGTATAGTTTAGAATTATTCCTGGATATTTGTAACATATGAAACACGCATTGCTTTTTTTTCTCCACACAATGGCAGTCACAAAAAAAGATTTGAAAAAAACGAAAACCAGATAAAGCAGCCACGTGATCTGGAGCCAAATTAAATGCCTCCAGTGTTTAACATAGCCACGCTCTGGGGCTGCAAAAGCACAGGGTGCTGCCTGAGTTCCGTACATTGTTCAAAAGTTCTGCTATTCCCGCCATCACAGCGATTTGACATGAGTCACTACCCAAATGCATCTCGATGCATTGAATGTCATGAGTCCTAATCGAATGCTGACGCAGTGCTTGTGTCCACTGTATGAGCTGTACTAAATATCATCACAGCGAAAATCTCGAAGCTTGGTGACAAAATCCTGGAGATCATATTGTTGGCGTTGTCCTTGCAACTTCGCCATCAAGTTTCGCGAAAAAGAGGCTGGAAGAAAACGCCCATTTTTATCTTTCTAAGTTCACTGCGACGAAGACGCTTCTTGGAAAGTGGCGTTGTGTTAGAATATTCTTGGGTCCCACTAGTGCCTGGAAGCTTGTGTTAAGTGAGAAACACTCCTACCAATCATTGTTGCACGGCCCCTTCAAAGGGGGTACGTAATAAGAATTTACAGAATGAAAACATACCAGGGACAGAAGACTGACACATACAGATCTTTTGAAACGTCTATGTCCGTCTTTTGCCCCTGCTGGGCGTTTATTTTTTTGTCTTTTACTACCAGGAAAATGGTCCTCTAAAAAGAATGAGATGCTCCAAGGTCTTGGAAGAGCAGTCACATTATTAGGCTTGTTCTATTTACCTGCACCTGCTGCATTAGTGCAGAAAAGTGTAGGGCGGTGTACTTCCGGTCATATCTCAATACACATACCGGAAGTACACTACACCTACACTTCTCTGCACCCGTGCAGGAGGTGCACGTAAATCGAACAAGCTTATTGAAGGATAAAAGGTTTATGCTGTCGAACATTGAACTCGAGTGCACTGATATTGTGAGTGTCTTTTTTATTCATTGAACAAAACAATAATATATAAATATATAGACATTGTATTCCTGAAATGATTTAAAAATACCATAGCAATGTTCTGACTGTTTCGGAATCGATGTAACACAGCATGCTTTGCATATGCTTGCCATTGTGAGTCATCCTCACATCTCTTGTTGGGCAATTGTTAGTTTGTTGGGTGTCTTGAAGGGGGTCCTCTATAGACCAACAGAGTCTTTACAAACAAGCCCGCTTTGCCCACACCAAGTGTGGGCACTGCGCTTGTGCAGCAACTGAATTCGGGAGGAATACGTAATGTGTTTGCGCATGCGCAGTACTGACAGGAGCGCCACCGCAGTGGCGTGACATCAGTGAGTTGAGCTGGTCTATATTATTCCTAAGAACACTGTTACAAAAAATGAAACATACAATCTTTATCTAAAAAAACAACATGAAAAGCATTGCTTTTAAATTGTTTTTACAATTTCAGATGGTTCAGGCTACAGACTGTGGCCCTGGAGAAGATGAGGAAACGATCAACGGGCAGATTGAGTTTATGAAGAAAGAGATGAAGAAGACGGTGTGGGACAAAAGGAAAGTGCAAGACGCTATGAACCGAACCTACAAAGCCAGGCGGGCATGGTTAAACGGAGCAAATTTGACAGTGACTGCTGTGACAGATCGCTACCCAGCCCTTACGCGGGCACAAGAAGCAAGTATTCATCCTAAACCTATTAGTTTAACTAGGCTACAGATTTCCTGGTGTTTAAGGATGAACAAAATATTTGCAGGCGTTTTTTTGGAGTTTATTTTATGTAACAAATTTTGTATTTCGACAATTTGGTTTGTGCAAATGCAAAAAAAGATTATTACTCACAAAAACAATTGCAGAAAAAAAACTTGTAAAAACTAAGAGCTTAAGTTTAATTGACATCTTGTTGACACCCTTATAATTCCTCTCACTCACAATTATGCAACAGCACTGGCAAACGACAGACAGCGAGTTGGAACCCAGTTCAAGGTGTGGGTACTTTGCAAGTAATGTAAACATCTGGAGCCTTTGGTTTTATTATTTCTTCACAGATTACCTGGCAGTGCCCAAAGGCATTATAACAAGTTAGGAAAATAATGTACTCATCATGACACCTGTAACAACCGGTTCCACTCTACAATGGTTTTAACCGAAAAAGAATTGGCATACATGCTCATCCTGTCACAGTGCTTCCTCAGTTTAAAAGTGTGTTTGTTGTGTAAAGGAACAAAATATGGTTACTTTAAGTAGACATCACTGTTAATTCAAGTTTGATTTTTTCTTTAATATTAAGAATAAAATGTTTAATCAAATATTCAGAATAAAAACCAACCTTGAAGTTATCCCACTACCCTTCTCCTTCATGTAATAGCAAAAATATAAGTGTTCTCAAGCAAAATGTTTCTGTTACAAGGAATGCAAGTAACAACGGCCAGTGTACTTTCGAGCAGTGTTGCCCAGCTCTGGCTTAAAAAGAACAAAAACTTTGGGACTATCCGTGGTGGCTGCCCGACTGACGGTAACTTTCATGCCACTGTCCTTTAAGGATAGTAATTCCAGTAAGAGTATGTGCATGACATATGTCTGAGGGAGGATTTATGAAAATAATACAGTCGCCGACTGATTATTCGGACTCGGAAGGGACCCGCCCCGAAATGGTCCGAGCAAGCAGTCCGAAAATTCGGTAGATGAAAAGCTTGCCTTTATTACGCCTAAGCAGGCTTTAAAAAGCCGTCAATAGTGGCTTGCTTCATCTTTTGCCTGCTTGCGATGATGTCTGCTTGCATTTGTGTGAGCGCCGTGTTCTCGTCGTACACATTCAACAGCAATGTTAATGCATTCATAATGTCTGCTGTCAATGGCTGCAGGCGGTAGTCGTCGTCGGAGTCTCATTTTCTGCTGATGCGAAAAACGAGACGAAAGGTGCAAACCCACAAACGCAAAATGCCTGCCGGCGACGCGAAAGTGGGGCGGAGGCGTGAAGGGATGGAAGGAAACAAAGCAAAATAATAATAATAATGATGATGATGATGACGTACAGCTAAATGGAAAAAAAAAGGGCTAGCGGTAGGACTCAGGAGTAAGTATACTCAAGTCGCGCTGCCAAACCAAACCAAGCCAATTCATTTGCAGCGAACATAGAATTCAAAATGGCCACTTCTCGGTGGTGTTTCCCGCTGATCGCTCGCGACGAGTTTGTCCGAATTATCAAACTTTCGTACTTCAAGCTGTCCGAAACATTGGTCGTGAATATACACTACGTCTTTGGGATAAGTCACGGTTCCTCCTTTAGGTCCGAACTATCGAACTTTTGTCCTAAGCATGTAAGTCACCGAAAAATTGGTCGGTGACTAACATGCTTAGAACAAGTTTCCGGAAATCAGTGGGTTTTTTTCGTTTTAAAGAAGTCTGAATTTCTGACACTGGAGAATGTCTCTTGGCATTTTTCGGTGAAAATCCGAAAGTCTGCTGCCTAATTATAACTAAAGAGTGTCAGCTATGATTTACAGTGCATGTGGTAGATCTTTGCATAATTTCATGCATTAGCTATGCTGTACAATTCTCTTGAACACTAAAAAAAATGTACAGTAAACTCTCACTTGAGCAAACCTCAAGGGACCCAAGGAACATTCACTAAACTGAATATATTCACTAGAATATGGAACAGCATAGGGCACAACATACATCGAGTCAAAAGTGTGAAATGCAATTTATGGAGTCACGTATATCAATATAATATACAAAGTGCATAACAGTTACCCTGCTGCTTTTTCATTTTGAAAAAAAAATTTTCATTTGCACCGGTGCTCTTAATGCGCAAGAAGTAGCAAAGCTGTCCAGAGAGTATCTTTTTTTGCACTTCCTCTGGCACAGCCTGTTGCTGTGACGAAGCCATACCGCAACGGCATCGTCCACTGGCTCAAAATATCCCGTGCCGAGTCGTTTCACGTTGGGATGCTCCTCCAAGCTTTGACTTTTGCTTCACTATCGTTGACAACGTCGACGGTGGAATCCTGTAGTCCTTCGCAACGTCCACTTGCCTTTAACCGTTGTCCAGGCGCTGAAGGATTTTGAGCTTGTCCGATAGAGACAGCCGCTTCTGTTGTACTCATAACGAAAGTGGGCGCACAAACTGCTGTCCTGCCGTTGTTACCCAAAACTAAGATGGCCGAACGGAAGTGGTGACAAAGAACAGACACACCATGTGGTTTGTTTTCGTCTACCACACCGCCGCTCTGCCTCGGCGGCACTGTAAACACCAGCGATGATACGCCGCCGCTGTAGAGACAGCGCCAGCGGGGCGGCAGGCATTAGCTATGCCAGCACTGCAGAGCACCCAACTTCGCTGAACTGATTGCAAAAATAATCCTGGGTCCACCGATCAAGTTTGTTGAACTGGAATACTCGCTATTCCGAAATTTGTTTTTCGTTGAACTGAAACATTTTTGCACAGAATGCATATGAAAACTGCCGGGAAGTTTTTTAAAGTTCGTTATTTTGAAATATTTGTTAAACCGACGTTCACTCAATTGAGAGTTTACTGTATACATATGCCAGTAAAACTTAAACCCGGCTGTTAAGGATTGAGGGATGAGTTCCAGACTATGAAAATTTTATTATTTAATGTTGACATGCAATTCAGCAATTTACATAGAATTGTCAACCTAGCCAGTAGTCAAGGTAAATGGGTTAAATACGGGGGGTGATCAAAAAGTTCCGGGACTGATTTTGTAGCGTAGAAAGTGAGGGCAGTACAGTGATGCGTGCGCAGCAGTCAAAGTAAAGAATCTTATGTCTCATTATACCAAAGGGCGTCTCTCTGTGAAAATTTGGAGCTGCGCTACACCAGTTTGTTTGACCACATGCACGAGCATGATGGCGATCTTTCCATACACTACAAACCAAAGCAAGAACGAACATCAATTTTATGTCAAGCTCAGCAAACGTAAAACAGAGACCTCTAAAATGGTTTAGAAAGCTAATGTAAAAAAAAAGTGAGGTGTGCGATGTGTTTTGAGTGGCACTCGCACCTCAAGAATGGCAGAACGTCACCAAAGTCAAGGAGAGGTCGGATAAAGTCGCCCTACTACTCTTCGTCTTTCAGCGATGTTCTGCCATTCCTGAATCGTGAGTGCCACTTAAAAAACTTCGCGAAATTCACTGCTTTTTCACACAAGCCTGCTGAATCATATCGATTGTCTCTGCTTTATATTTGTCGAGTTTGACGCAAAATTGATGTTCGCTCTTGCTCTGGTTTGTAGTCTATAGTAAAATAGCTATTGTGCCCATGCACGTAGTCACGAAAACTTGTGAAACGCAGCTGCAAATGTTCACAGAGCGGTGCCCTTTGGTATAACGAGACACAAAGGTCCCTTTCTTTGACTGCTGAGCGCGCATAGATATGTGCTGCCCTCTCTTTTTTTGCTACAAAATGAGTCCCGGAACTTTCTGATCACACCTCGTATAATGCAGACGAAAATATTAGCTAATAAGAACATGGTCTGTCTCATAGAGCAAAAGGCAGGAGTAGGCACCATCATGACCAAGTGACATAATCTGATTCTTTTTTAGTTTTATTATAGTGTTGACATCTCATTCATAAATTGATCACAATTTATTATTTACAGATTCGACAGGAGTTCAGACGGCTGACAGGTCGAGATGCCGAGGAGGGTCTTGATGCGTTCCTTGAAAGGAAAACTGAAGAACTCTACAAGCTCTTCCTTATGAAGGCTGCCTCCAAACGACAGGCAAAGGAAATTCTGGAGTACTCCAAGGGATGCTCTCAAGAAGAGAGTGCAAGTAAGTGCCAAAAGAAAATTGCTTTCCCCTCTGGCATGTTTTTGGAAGCTTTCTAAGGTAGCTAATTTGCTTGTAAGTGCCTACAAAACCAGCAATTATTATGCTGCAAGTCTTACGGCCAACAACATGAGCAGATATTTTGAAATCATAATTTTTAGAAAATAAATGATGCCATGGCTACAACAGTAACATACAGCTATGTAAAGTATAGGGAGAACATTTGAACGGTACTAGCGCACACGTATGAGGAAGAGAGAAGAGACAGAAAAGAGCGCTACTCGCAACTGTATTTACAAAGATGAAGAAAAGGAAGAACCTCGTCAAGATCCCCATAAAGATGAAAAAGGAAGAGGAAGCAGAAATATAAAACAGAAATATAAAACACAAAGTAGGGTGTTCCCTCTCGCGCACAGGCTTGAGACACTGGTTCTTTGATTAAACACCAAAACCTTTGTTGGCCTTTTCGTTGCCGTGGTGCAGGGTGTGTTTGCATCAGTCTTCGCTCACGCAGGGTCACCCTTGTCAGAGGGGAAGACGAACACCTCGTCCGTGGTCGGCTGCCGCTGGGTCGTCGTGCCTGATGTCTCGTGGCACCCGTGACCCATGCGAGTTCTGCATTGTCCGTGTTAAAAAGTCTGTTTCCTTGCTTGTTAAGGCTACCACCACCTCGCGGGTCATTTTATCATTGTGCCTCTCTAGGGTTATTGTTTCCCCGAACAGCGGATTGCAATTGCACTCTTTGCAATGTGTTGCGAGATGGCCTCCCACTGTGGCTCTCAGAGAATAATCATGCTCGCGAATCTGCAGCGTGTGGCATCGGTAGCCTTAGCAAGCAAGGAAACAGACTTTTTAACACGGACAATGCAGAACTCGCATGAGTCACGGGTGCCGCGAGACATCAGGCACGACGACCCAGCGGCAGCCCACCACGGATGAGGTGTTCGTCTTCCCCTCTGTCAAGGGTGACCCTGCGTGAGCGAAGACTGATGCAAACACACCCTGCACCACGGCAACGAAAATGCCAACAAAGGTTTTGGTGTTTAATCAAAGAACCAGTGTCTGAAGCCTGTGCGCGCGAGGGAACACACGACTTTGTGTTTTATATTCCTGTTTTATATTTCTGCTTCCTCTTCTTCCTTTTTCATCTTTATGGGGATCTTGACAAGGTTATTCCTTTTCTTCATCTTTGTAAATACAGTTGTGAATAGTGCTCTTTTCTGTCTCTTCTCTCTTCCTCATACGTGTGCGCTAATACCGTTCAAATGTCTAACTACCAAGTAGCCCAGTTATCAACCCTTTTAAAGGGAGAACATTTATTATGATTGTAATGCCATGCTAATATTTATTTGCAGGGAAGTATTGTGACTGTCTACATTTTTTAACTTTTTCTCAAGCGTTTCTTGGCAATGGCGCCCTGCTCCTGCTGCCATGCCTGATGAATGAAAAGAGTACCTCGATTCTTAAGAAATTGGTATGAGCAACTCATTATGCACATCTTAATTTTCATGCAAATAGCTTTTATTACTGGCAGTCAACCTCCATACAAATAATAATTATAGACAGCAGGGCGACAGATATAGTTTTCTTTGTTAATTAGAAATGTCTAAAAGGATGCACTAATATAATAGTACACAGCATGACACAAAGCGACCAAGTGATCTCTAGTGTTTTTTTCTTTTGTTGCACAGCTGAAGGACTGGGGTCAAAACTACTAGTATAGTGAACTGTGCTTATGCTGGGTGTCAACCTATACTCCGTTTCACAATAATTTGGTGAACTGTGAAGGTTGCAGCCAAAATGCGCCCCAGTAAGGGCGTCGGAGCAAGGCACATACAACCCTCCATGATTGAAGCCACAGAGGGCTTCAATTGCAATTGGACTCGCACGATTGCATCTGGCCACATCACATGGAAGAAATAGACGAAGACATGTTACGTTTGAACGATACTTAATTCGGATCAACTCTTTTCAAAGAACGACGTGGCTTTTGAACAATTTTTGAAGTTTGAACGATCGAAGCCCTGTAATCGACCACTTCCGCTCAAAACGTCGCCCTAGCTATAACACCCGCCACAGATTCGCGGGTACATTAGGCGTATGGTTGCCTTGTGAACTGACCCCGAAGAGCTCACTACTGAAGTGGACGGCATTGTCACAGTGATGGACGTTCATCCAAAGTTGTTTGGTTTCGCAGCAGACGACTTTAGGCTAGCATGCAGACAACAGTTGGTTCCTCCGTGCCTCGCATTTGCTGCAGCGATACAAACTCTGTAGTGACGTCGTGTCACTGCCTCGCTCCGACGCCCTTATTGAATCGCAGGGGCTATAGCCTCCACAATTTGCCAAGTTATCGTGAAACAGAGTATAGTAGGTACATCAATCCCTTTTAAAACCCCATTGAGTAACATTGGCAGTCACCATTTGTTGGACATCAAGGATGTGATTGGATTGGAGTCCTTTCTGGTCGATGACCTTACGCATTGTATAAACGAGCCGAGCCGAGTTAATGCAAAGCACTCGTACAGGTCACGCACCCTCATGTCTAATACATGCTCAGAATATGTAATGAAGCTATAGTGAACTCAGATACCCTTCCTCTCAAATTTTAGTGTGTATCAGAATGTCTAACAGACGTTTCTAAAAGATTGCCAGAAGTAGCCAAGTGTGAATATCCATGTGAGTACAGATGTGGGAGAATTGGAAAGTTAAGAGGAATTATTTAGCCTATGGGTGTTCAAAACTGTCCATGTACAACATGGTACCACCACCACTGTTCAACATTGCTTGCAACCAGGCTAGCAATGGCCATGGTGCTCACATCACAAACGTCCCAAGATGCCTATCTCTCACTTTGATTACTGCTTCATAGAAAAATATAGAGAGTCATTCAAGATAGATAGTGCACTTATTTTTAATTTGTCATTTATGCTTGCAGTTTCATTTCGGTATCCCTTTAAAAATGTCTGACAACTTGTGAACCTGGAAACATTGTGTTACCCTAGTGGAGGAAATTTAGTGTAGAAGTTCACCTGTCTGCTTCTGAATAAACAAATAGGTTCAGGGAATTTCTAGATGTTATACATGGCAGTATTCCTTTTCCTTTTTCTACAGGAGCCAGGCACCCAGCACATGAACCCATGTATTGTATACGTTGGGGAAGATGTCTTGACCTCTCCCATGTATGCAGTGAAAGTCGAAGAACTGAGCATTGACGTTCCAAGCCTCAAGCAAGCTTTCTCATTGCTAATAAGCCTATTCTGGGCCTTCGGCATTCACTATACTCCGGAGGCCAAGAATATGCTCACCATCCTGGAGCATGCCATTGGTGTTTCTCATACAAAAATGGGCACGGTTGCACTTCGGGTTTGGAGCTCATTGTGAGCTTCAGACCTGCAGATAGACGAGGCAATTTTTCCTGTTGTTCCAAAGATGCTGACAACTTTTCAGATGCTGCAACACAAAAAACAAACTACTCAATTACTTAGATTTAGAAACTTTTGAGGCAGCAGTTAGAAATTAAGAATGCAGCATTTCCACGCCATTCCTTGTGGGGTCAGGATGATCACCGACACAGGGATAGATTTTTTGCCGTGATTTTGTGAGCTAATGGTTTCAAGGGCATCAGCAGAGGACATAGAAACATGCTATTACTGCATAATTTGGTGTACATACAGTGTGAGAGTTGCATTTTAATCAGGATTACAACCAAAAGTAGCTCGTCGTTGTAACAGGAGACTGGAATTGCAGCTGTTGCGGCGCCACGATGTATTAGAGATGTCGGTTACATATCAAAATATTTCTAGGGGTAACTAATTTCTAGGGATAACATCTTGCATATTTCTATGCAAGATGGCGGTACGAACGGAACGGAACGTCGCCGCCTGCTTTGATTGGTCAGTGCTATGCCGCTGACCAATCGCAGCAGGCGGCGATGTCCCGGCCCCTTCGTCCCAGCTTGTCCCGCAGTCTTACATAGCCCCCCAGGAGGTCGAAAGTAATCTTAAGTTCCTCGTTGGAGTGTGCCAAATGGCCTTTGTTGGCATGTCAGACCCCCAAATTCACCTCCGTCTCGCAAAGTCAAGATGTCGAGAAAGTTTCCTCATGTCAAGCTGACATAAACACACCTCTTTCTTTGCTAGAGCGCAGCAAATTTGTCATGGTCAATGTGCTGAGAAACTGAGTGAGAGATAGGAGACAAGAACGTGCAGGGACGTTAGAACTCTGAGCTCTAGTTGGAACGATTAGTGCGTTGTAGACCTATAGCTAGCTGCCTTTGTCTCAATTGCAAACGTTGAATGCGTTTGAATGCGAGAGCCAAATGCCCGGTGCCAGCGTTCTGCATTCTAATGCATTCGACGAGCGCAGTGGAAACAAAGGCAGCTAGCTTTAGGTTTACCCACTAACCATTCGAACCAGAGCTCGGCGTTCCGGCATTCCCGCACGCTCTCATCTCCTCTCTCTCTCTCTCGGCACATTTGTTTTTCGCCAAAAGCTTACGTTCATGGAGATGCTATTACAAGAGTGATGCGAGAAAATCTCGGGTATTGCAGTATTCATCTACATTTTGTGTCACAACGACCAATAGTTTGTCAGCAACCCTAGAATCGCATGAAAAATTGCCTTCTCTGGAGTAAACCATGATCAACCAATTGCTATTTTTTTTAAACTGAGGGCAACTTTTTATATTTCTGGCATAGTGAATTATACTTATTGTTGAAACTGGGTTTTATGGGCTATGCCCACTATATATACTTGTATGGTTTAAACAATATACATCTTTGCAGATTATACATTTTCAGATGCTTTTCTAAGCAGTGAAATTACTAGTTCCGAGTGCTTTAATTATTTTGTTTGTAATGTTTTAAGTGACCTATTTATTTTGATGTAAGTTAATTGCTGTGTTTGATATTGTTCACAGGTGCCAATAGGAAGGCTGCAGGGCTGTTTCTGGCTTTTAACATAAAGTATAATTATTATAATAATTACAGTACATCCAATTGTTCAGTGTTATAAAAGACTTTTTTTTGTTTTTCATTTGCTTTCATTTACTTCAAGAAGTGAGTTGTTTTCAATGATTTTACTTTTTCAAGAAGGAAAAAAAAGTGTAAATCCCATGTAAAATAAAGGAAAAACTGCCACGTTTACTGTCTTCATTAGAAGCACTTTATACAATTCAAGGAGTAATTATATAATGCCCCAAGCTTTCTGCACTGCTTATGTTAAATGCCTCCATGCTTAGCAAGCACACTAAAATTTGGGCTTTAAAAATTCTGAGCTAGGAAGGTAAGGTTTCGAAAGCTGCGAAATGCCCAAATTTGATCAAAATGGTATGTATCGGGTCAATACGGTAAACAAACAAACAAACAAACAGGTGTATCTGTCCTCGCAGTAGAGCCCACTCTAGCAAAAACTCTGGAATCCTAGTTTTACTATTAGTATAATGTTTGTAATGCATACATAACAATGTTTTTTTTTTTTTTTTGGTTAAATGTTTCCTGCTTTCATGTAAGTTTTTTTGCTTTGCTTTATAATCGAAGGTGCCAATAAGAAAGCTGCAGGTTGTTGCTGGCTTCGGAAAGTGACATTACTATAATTATTATAGTTAGATAGTCCAGTACTGAAAAAAAGAATCCTTTTCAGATTTTCATTTCCACAATGTTTTAAGAGTTACCGACAAGGTTGTTTAAGAGGTTCATTTAAGTTTTAAAATAAACTATTTTTCGAAATAAAGTTGTATATATCAGACTTGGAAAGTAAGAGAATACAAACAATTGCCACTTGTAGTTTTTGTCTCCATTAGAGACATTTGGTTGTAATACTTTAACGTTTTGAACTTTCTACACTGCTTGCATGTTATTTCGTTTTATCTAATTGCACGTAACTTTTTTTTATTTTTAGTAACTGCTTGATATTTAATCTTGGGGGCTTTTAATGTGGAGCGAGTAGGGCAACTCATCGGCCACTCGACCAACACGGGAAAGCATCCGCCAGCGCTACAATTAACAGTCACCTATTATCAAGCACTGAATTAAAGGGAAAAGAGAACGAATTGAACAACGCATGACTAAGAATCATGTAACCTTTAGCCAATTACTGACCAGAAATGTAGAGAGACTTGTAACTTCTGCTACTATTACACGCGCGGAAGCTTATCCGCTGCGTGAAACTGAAACCGAAACTGATGGGGAGCATGCCGTGCGGTGTTCCTTTCGCCGATTACTTTCATATTATGTTGCCCTCCGAAGTGCTGGATTAAGAGAGGTGTCTAGCCTGCCCACCTAAATGCACAAAGCACTTGTATACCAATAATACATGTAAATACTCTTTGTATTCTTCTAGTAAACAGTGGCCCTCACTCGCCTAATCATTGCCAGAAAATGGTAGGGCATATATACGAATCGGGTCGATAGGGTGGTTAGAGTAGAGAGTCGCGCGGGTGTTGTTGTGTCGGAGTTGGTTGTGCCAGTGTTCGGTCTGTTGGTTGGTGTATGTACTGTGTATGTACCGTGTATGTACCGTGTATGTGCTGGTGTACTAGTGATAATGTGTGTGGTCACACGTAAACGAAACAAAATAAAAACGTATTTTTTAGCGCCATTTAGCGATTATTACCACACCCTCCAGGTGGCGCAAGCTGCCGCCTAATTCAAGGAACAAAGTGTTGCAGTTATGTATCTATCGGTTTACAAGCAGCTGGTTGGCCCAGGCTGGCCTGCCCGGCCCGGCTGGCCTTTTTACCTATTAAAACGATAACAGTCGTAATAATTGTGCCACTCAGCCACCTAAATGCTCGTTCTGTGTCCAAGAGCTGCGAAGTGCAAGCACAAACGCGCGCGAATGGATAACCACGTCAGAGAGGTAGGCACTAACAAAAAAAGATCGCAAAAAAAAAAAAAAAATTTAGCGGTAGTGTCAGTCCGAGCTTCGCCTCTCGTAGGTCTCGACCACGCTCGACGAAGGTGCCCAGCGGTTCATTGTCCCAGACTTCAAGCATACGTTGTGTTCAATAAAATCAGCATGTCCATTCCTCGCGTAATGATCCCTTTTTAAGCGTGCTCCGCCGGTGGTCAAAACACAGTCAATCTAGCGAGACGCTGTGGGCAGTGTCGGGGGCAATCGCCGCGATTCCGGCACACACACTGCCGTCCTTCCGGGATATAGGTACGGTACCGGTGTCTAGGGACCAAGGACTCAAACCGAAAAATATAACGTTTCGGTTACGGTTACGGTTACCGCTTCCTGTTGATAACGGTTTCGTTTCGGTTTTTTACGGTTTTAATTTTTACGGTTTCGGTTACCGGTTACACGTTCATAAAAACCGGTTTATTTCGGTTTTTCCAATAATTTGTCTAATTGAAATGCTAGACAGCCATTTTATAAAAAACTGTTTAAAGTAGTCTCAGATATCCAATAACGTGAAATACAAGGAACCTAGAAACGTCTTAATACTTCTAATTGGTCAGAAGTTGCACACGTTCCTAGCTCCAACTCTTGTTCACTACATCTACTTACATTATTTAGTTTTATGCCCGAGCATACATGTTACTTCTAGTACTCGGGGATCATCGCGTTCTATATAATAAAAATTAAAATAAACACCGCTACTCTGTTGTTTGGCACCATTTATAAAAAATTACCCTAAGAAAGTTCCCACTTGATGCTGGAAGAACCATTCGCACTTTCTCGTCGCTACAGTTGATTTCAACCTCATACATGCAGGCGAGTCTTCGCTTCACTGAAGGAAGGAACAGAACTGCAGCCATCCACTAGTAAAATACTGCTAAGTGGAATGAAGTAATAAAATTGAGAGCTGGGCTGGGCGGGCCGTGAGGCAAGAAGCCTTCGTGCAGCGAATGGAAAGTCCGCCGTAGTCGGGCGGCCCGTGAAAACTACTTGCCTCACTAAACACTGCCCAGTCGACTTCAGGTGCCTGCTGGGTCGAGTGGACTGGCGGTGTAGGTCCCGTCGCTTTTGACTTGTAGGCAGTGCTACCCAGGTCCGACTGAGAGTCTTCGACGACGCTTTGTTTGTCTGTAGTGTGTTCCTTTGTGTTGGTGTGGTTTTCCTCCTTGCCATCGTACGTGTCGAAGGAGCCGTCATCGGCGTGGGGCTCAATGACAGTGTCGGTCCTGCTGAGCCACTCCAGGATTCGCTCGGTGGCGGTGGTTGTCGAGTCGGGATCCATTGGGTCGTTTTCTTCGATCCAAGATCAAGCTCGGGCACGGTCGGCCGAGACGCCAGCCTCGCAAAGAGCATGGGCGAGAATGTCCTCGACAGGAAAAACGCACAGGAGCGTCAAGGAGACGACTGTGCCGTCGATGACGGCACTGGTGGGTTTCGAAGACTCAGCGTAGCTGCCGGACTCACGATTAGGGGGCCTCTTCGACTTGGTGTCTGGACGGTAGCTGGTGTGCGCGGGAGCACGAGGCGTGTGGCGTCCGCGTCGAGGCTGGTTGGGTAGCTGGTCGGGGA